AGGCCGACCTTTTAGGCTCCCTTTTTGCGTCCAACTCGACTGTTGATGACGGGGGGAACACACCGCCGACCATCCCGCGGTGTGAGTGCTCTATGCCGGATGTGCTATTCTCACAGCGCTCGGTTCGCAGAGCACTCCTCTCCCTTGACATCCACAAGTCGAGTGGGCCTGACGGAATCCCCCCAATTGTGCTGAGGACGTGTGCTCCGGAGTTGGCACCGGTTCTAACGCGTCTTTTCCGGTACTCCTACTCCCAAGGCGTAGTCCCGAACTCATGGAAGACAGCTTTTGTCCACCCGATCCCTAAAAAAGGCGACCGCTCAGACCCGTCCAACTATAGGCCTATCGCGATCACCTCCTTGTTCTCCAAAATAATGGAATCCATTATTAACTGCCAGCTCATCCGGTACCTTGAGGATCACCAGCTGATCAGTGACCGCCAATACGGTTTTCGTCGGGGTCGATCAGCTGGTGATCTTCTAGTCTACCTGACCCATAGATGGGCGGAGGCAGTAGAGTCCAAGGGGGAGGCGTTGGCTGTTAGTCTGGACATTGCGAAGGCCTTCGATCGGGTTTGGCACAAAGCGCTTCTTTCGAAGCTCCCTTCCTATGGGCTTCCCGAGAAATTGTGCAATTGGATCACCAGCTTCCTTGCAGATCGGAGCATCAAGGTCGTTGTAGACGGTGCATGTTCTGACTACAAGCCTATTAACGCTGGTGTTCCACAAGGCTGTGTGCTATCACCAACGCTGTTTCTTCTGCATATCAATGATATGTTGCTAACTGGTAACATTCATTGCTATGCGGATGACAGCACTGGTGATGCTCTATACACCGGCCGGGCCAATATTTCTCGGGAAAACGTCGCCGAGTACCGGAACAAACTTGTGTCTGAAGTCGAGTCTTTGCTGGACAAAGTCTCGGATTGGGGGCGACTAAATCTAGTCCAGTTTAATCCTCAGAAGACACAAGTTTGCGCGTTTACCGCTAAAAAGAACCCCTTTGTCGTATCTCCTCAGTTTCAAGGCACTCCCCTTCTTGCCTCAGCCAGTATCGGTATCCTCGGAGTCGACATATCGAGTGACGTGCAGTTTCGTGGTCACTTGGAAGAGAAGGCCAAATTGGCCTCTAAAAAGCTTGGCGTGCTCAGCAGAGCGGGACAGTATTTCATGCCGGCACACCGCCTGCAACTTTACAAGGCGCAGGTTCGGCCTCACATGGAATACTGTTCCCATCTCTGGGCAGGGGCTCCCCAGTGCCAGCTCCTTCCACTTGACCGCATCCAGCGCAGAGCGGCTCGAATCGTCGACGACCGAGCCCTTTCCGATCGGCTCGATTCATTGGCACTGCGAAGAGATGTTGCATCTCTTTGCATTTTCTTTCGCATCTACCATGGGGAGTGCTCTGAGGAATTGTTCGGATTAATCCCAGCCGCCAAATTTCATGAACGCACATCGCGGCAGAACTCCCGATACCATCCACACCATCTGGATGATTGGCTGTCCACCACTGTGCGATTTAGAAGATGTTTTCTTCCTCGCACGACTTCCTTGTGGAATCGATTACCATCAGCGATTTTTCCGGACCGATACGACTTAGGGACCTTCAAGAAAAGAGCCTACTCCTTTTTAAAAGGCCGGCAACGCATCTGCAATTCCCCTGGTGTTGCGGTTGTTCATGGGCGGCGGTAGTCACTTACCATCAGGTGAGCCGCATGCTCGTTTGCCCCCTCTCCTATAAAAAAAAAAAAAAAAAAAAACCCCATATCTTCCCGTGGGTGTCGTAAAAGGCGACAAAGGGAAACAGGCAGGAGATGGGCAGCAGCATCTTCCTGGTAACGGCAAAATACAATAAAAAACTGCGGTTGCCAACCCGCTCGCCAAGCGTGGCAACTATGGCAATATACCCCCCAATGAATAAAGCAACAAACAGACGGCCCACAGTCCCCGGCGGCCCCGCTATTCCTGGCTACAGTGGCGACCATGGTAACGGCGGGGCAGGGGGTGCTAAGAATCTCCGGTGGAGGTTCGGTTGCCACCTACAAGGACTCGACCTGGCAACATACAACGCACGCACCTTGAGGACTGACGAGAAGATTGTGGAGCTGGAAGAAGAGATAGACAAGTTACGCTGGCATATTATAGGATTATCCGAAGTCCGAAGAGAGGGGGAGGACACGGTAATCCTCGAATCCGGCAACTTGCTCTATTACCGGGAGGGCGACCATCTGTCCCAAGGAGGTGTCGGATTTATCGTCCACAAGTCTCTCGTTAACAACGTTGTAAAGATTGAGAGTGTGTCGACGAGGGTTGCGTACCTTATACTCAGAATCACCAAACGGTATTCGCTGAAGGTCATACAGGTTTACGCACCAACCTCTGCACACCCCGATCAGGAGGTGGAGGAAATGTATGAGGATATCTCTAGAGCCATGCATTCCTCCAAAACCCAATATACGGTGTTAATGGGAGACTTCAATGCAAAACTAGGCACAAGAGAGAACGGTGAGCTGAAAGTGGGGAAATTTGGAATAGGGCAACGGAACCCAAGGGGCCAGCAGTTGGCCGACTTCATGGAGAAAGAGGGACTCTTTATGATGAACTCTTTCTTCCAGAAGCGGCCCCACAGGAAGTGGACCTGGTCGAGACCCGACGGTTAGACAAAAAATGAGATTGACTTCATTATGACGACCAGACGACAACTGTTCAGTGATGTCTCAGTGATCGCGAGGGTGAAAACCGGCAGCGATCACCGAATGGTTAGAGGCACACTGAACCTAAACGTTAAGTTGGAGAGGTCTCGTCTAATGAAGTCAACGCTCCGTCCCCCTCGTGCTCTAATCCAAAGTCCCGAAACCTTTCAGCTCGAGTTGCAAAACCGTTTTCAGTGCCTAGAAGACTGCAATGAAGTGGACGATTTGAATGACAAGCTCGTGGAAACTGTCCATGCGGTTGGAGCTAAGTTCTGCAAGACCCGCCGCAGAAGAACACAAAAACTCTCCGATCACACTCTTAATCTCATGGCTGTTAGACAGGAGATGAAGCTACATTCTTCAACAGATTTGACAGCATACAGGCAACTGAACAGACAGATATCCAAATGCATGCGGCGGGACTTACGCAACTTCAATACAGCTCGTATTGAAGAAGCGATCGAGCGGAACCAAGGCTCCAAAGTCTTTGCCAGAGATCTGTCTGCCAGAAAGAGCCAACTGTCAAAGCTGAAGACCGAATGTGGCAGCATCGTTTCCGGGGCACCTGAGATTTTGAGTGAGATTGAGAGGTTCTATGGGCAGCTGTACAAGTCATCGTTGGAGCCACACGCAAGTGTGAGTAACGATCAAAGAGCGAGTCTTATCAGACATTATTCCGATGATATCCCGGACGTCAGTCTGAGCGAGATTAGAATGGCTCTCCAGCACGTTAAAAACGGCAAGGCCCCAGGCCAGGATGGAATTACAGCGGAGCTTCTGAAAGCGGGTGGAAAACCGGTACTTGAAGTCCTTCAGAAGCTCTTTAATTCCGTCCTCCATGGTGGCATTACACCGGAGGCGTGGAGCAGAAGTGCGGTGGTCTTGTTCTTCAAGAAAGGCGACAACGCTCTCTTGAAGAACTACAGACCGATTTCCCTTCTGAGCCGCGTCTACGTGCTGTTTTCGAGAGTCATTACGAATCGTCTCGCGCGCAGACTTGACGACTTCCAGCCTCCCGAACAAGCCGGTTTCCGAAAAGGCTTTAGCACCATAGACCACATACACACCCTTCGGCAAATTGTACAGAAGTCCGAGGAGTACAATTTGCCACTATGTCTGGCGTATGTGGACTATGAGAAAGCCTTTGATTCCGTCGAAATTTGGGCGGTGCTGCAGTCCCTTCAGCGATGCCAAGTTGACTGTCGGTATATCGAAGTGTTGGAGTGCTTGTACAGTAGGGCTACGATGGCTATCCGAGTACAGAACCAGAGTACGAAACCTATACAATTGCAGAGAGGTGTAAGACAGGGTGACGTCATATCCCCGAAACTCTTTACCGCTGCATTGGAAGATGTTTTCAAGCTTCTGGACTGGAAAGGATACGGTATCAACATCAATGGCGAGTACATCACTCACCTTCGATTTGCCGACGATATAGTCCTTATGGCAGAATCGCTGGAGGACCTAAGCACTATGCTCAATGACCTCAATAGTGTTTCCCAACGGATAGGGCTTAAGATGAACATGGACAAAACAAAGATCATGTTTAATGTCCATGTCACACCTATGCCGGTAGTTGTTGGGAACACTAAGCTCGAAGTTGTTGACGAGTATGTTTACCTGGGACAAATAGTCCGACTAGGTAAGTCCAACTTCGACCGAGAGGTCAATCGACGGATTCAACTCGGTTGGGCAGCGTTCGGGAAATTACGGCACATCTTCTCGTCAGGTATACCTCAAAACTTGAAAACGAGACTGTACACCCAGTGCGTGTTGCCAGTGATGACATACGGAACTGAGACGTGGTCCTTCACTGCTGGCCGGATGAGGAAGCTCAAGGTCGCTCAGCGAGCTATGGAGAGGGCTATGCTCGGAGTTTCTCTGCGTGATAAACTCAGAAATGAGGATATCCGCAGTAGAACCAGAGTGACCGACATAGCCCAACGGATTAGTAAGCTGAAGTGGCAATGGGCCGGCCATATAGCTCGAAGAACCGACAACCGATGGGGAAGAAAGGTTCTCGAGTGGCAGCCTCGTACCGGCAGGCGAAGTGTAGGGCGTCCCCCCACTAGATGGAGTGACGACCTGGTAAGATATGCAGGAAGTCGATGGATGCAGGTGGCTCAGGACCGTGCTTTGTGGCATTCTTTGGGGGAGGCCTATGTTCAGCAGTGGACTTGTGAAGGGCTGTAATGATGATGATGATGAAAGCCAAGTAAAGCCTTTTCTTAACCGTGACCCAATTTTTAGCACTTGAACAGTTTTTTTAGTCTTGCAGAAATCAATTTTGACATTTTATTTTTCGTAGACGGCAAGCTAATAACACTAATTGGAGGCAGCAACATACACGTGATGAAGGTGATGAATGGCGGTCATCAGACACAGCACGAAACCGTCCCAACACAGACAAATGGGGTGAGTTAGTTTCTGCGATTTAGCTTTTTTAATATTTCATATACAATCACCTATTTAAGTCCACATCTGAATAGTTCATATTTTACGTTCGGTAATTTTAACAAGTGGTGCTTCGTTATTTTAAATTTACTTTAATTACTGAAATAATAATTTGTTGCCTGATTCCACAATTTCATGTTGGTACCTTTATTATTTATAAAGGGAATTAGTACCATCCCAAATATTTATGTTTTCAGATCGAGAATGGGGAGAGAGACCAGCACAAGACAGGCCACAGTCGTGGAATTCAAATCGTCGTACTACATGGGTTGGAGGGGAGGGTAACAATGACGACAACCTACCAGAATGGTAAGTATCGAATTGATATTACATACATATGTCGTTATTTTTGTATTTTTAAACGATCTGAGTTGAGGCGGAGATCTAACTGCACGTGAATTTCTGATCCTATATTGTTTAAATAATATTTTGAACATCATCATCACGACCACAACCCTTCACAAGTCACAAAGCACGGCCCTGGACAAATTGCATCCATTGACTTCCTGCATGTCTTACTAGGTCGTCACTCAGTATAATGGAAGGCTGCCCTACAATTCGCCTACCGGTACGAGGCTGCTACACGAGAATTTTCCATTCATCCCCAATCGATTGTCGGCTCCTCGCATAGGCCTCTCCATAGCTCGCTGAGCGACCTTGAGCTTCCACATCTGGCCAGCAGTGAAAGACCACGTCACAGATTCATAAGTCATCACTTGCAACATGCACTTGTTGTGCAATCTTATTTTCAAGTTTTGAGACATAACTGACGAGATGTGTCGCCGCCCAGCCGAATTAAATTCGACGATTGACTTCTCGGTCGAAGTTGGACATACCCAATCGGACTACTATTTGTCTAGGTAAACATACTCGTCGACAACTTCGAGCCTTCCAACAACTACTGACATAGGTGTGACATGATCTTTGTTTTGTCCGTGTTCATTTTAAGACCTATCCGTTGAGAGGCACTATTGAGGTGCACTGCCATAAGGGCTATATGGTTGGCAAATCGGATGTGTGTAATATACTCGCCATTGATGTTGTAGGTGCTGCTGACACAGCATACACATGCGTCACCCGTGTCAATGTGTATGTAATTCTCGTGGAATAGGATAATGACCGCCACCGGCGGGAGGGTAGTGTGTGAGTAGTTCTATTCCTTTTGTGTGTACTATGTGAACACTCTTCTCGGTTTCGATAAAATAAATCGGCTACAAACTAATGTGAACAGTTTATCATTTTCTTCTGTACACAAAAATCTATGATATACTAGCCACCAAGAATCACAACAATGTTAATTTCGTATTCTTACCAGTCCAATAGCTTTAAGACGTCTTCCAATACAGCGGTGAAAAGTTTCGGGGATATAACGTCATCCTGTCTTACATTGCAGATAGGCAATTGGATAGGTTTCGTACTCTGGTTCTGTACTCGTGTAGTCATCGTAGCCCAACTGTACAAAGACTTCAGCACTTCGGTATATCGACATTCAGCTTGGCACCGCTGAAGGGACTGTAGCACTGGCCAAATTTCGACGGAATCCAAATCTTTCTCATAGTCCACATATGCAAGGCAAAGTGGTAGATTGTACTATTCGGTCTTATGTACAATTTGCCGAAGGGTATGTATGTGGTATATGGCGACAGCGCTCTTTTGAAGAACAAGCGGAACAAGCAGTGATGCGGTGGTCTTGTTCTTCAAGAACATTTCTTGAAGAACAAGACCACCGCACATCTGCTCAACACCTCCTTAGTAGTGCCACCATGAAGGACGGAATTAAAAGAGCTTCTGAAGGACTTCAAGTACCGGTTTTCAACCCGCTTTCAGAAGATCCGCTGTAATTCCATCCTCGCCCAGGACCTTGCCGTTTGTAAGGTGCTGGAGAGTCATTCTAATCTCGATCAAACTGACGTCCGTCCTATTTCTGGCAGACTCTCTGGGCTCCAGTCTCTGGCAAAGACTGGAGCCCTGGTTCCGCTCTATAGCTTCTCCAATACGAACTGTATTGAAGTTGCGTAGGTGCCGCCGCATGCATTTGGAGCGTATAACAGCGTACGTGAACTCTTATTCAAAACAATGAAACCGGTTTGCCAATGGTAATATAAATAAACCTCAAAATGTTTAGTCCACTTATATGTTTAGAGATATTATCATTATCGACTGTCACCTGACTTAAGTTGATGCCGAAATCTCCTAATACGCCCTATTTGAGTACCATCTTAATAGATTAATCCTCTTACCTATTTCTGTCGGCAAACAATATTGCACACAATACTGTTTCGGTACGTATTTACTATCATTTATTCTGTGGTTTCGGTGAGAGGGTAGCCAATATAATGAAAAAAAAAAAAGATTGAAACAGAATAGGTCGGGGAAAAAGTTTCTTCGTATTTTATATACAAATTCAAGAAATTTTTTCAATGTTTAAATACATTTTTTTCGATAACTTGTTCTCATCTTATAGGTAAGAATTTTTGGGATTTTTGATCAAAAAAATGCGACAAGTAGTTTTGACAGTCCTCTTGTGATGTTAACCTAACACTGCCCAAAGAATTCTGAAGAGACCAAAACAAATGAACATCTGCGAGTGCAAGTTCAGGACTATATGGTGGATACAATAAAACTTCCCTACTAAGCTCTACCGATTTTTGCCGATTGGCCAAAAATGTGTGTGGTCTGGCGTTGTCATGATGAAAGACCATTCCTTTTCTGTTGATCAATTCCGGCTGTTTATTCAATTCTTTTTCTGTGCTTGAGACTCATTAGTTGTTGGCAGTAGAGTTTCGAATTGATGGTTTAGCCCGGCGGTAAAAGCTCATAATAAACGATGCCTTTCCAGTCCCACCATACACACAGCATCACCTTATTGCGTTTTAATCCGGGTTTCGCTACAGTCTGTGGAGCTTGACTGCTCTTTGACCATGAAATTTTTCACACATTCTTGTCGTGGGTGATTCACTTTTCATCACCAGTGATCAATCTTTTCAAAATATTTCATTACGTTTCAATAGAGAATCGCAAATGAGTACACGATTCATTAGGTTTCTTTCAGTGAGCCCGTGTGGTACCCAAATACAGAGTCCTTTGTATAGCCAGACTTTTTCAAATAGCTCAAATCTTGTGATCAATCGATACCATATACATGTCAATTTCTCGGCTACGTCGTACATACTAATATATATATAAAAAATGGCATCATCTTTGACATCAAAATTCCGGACTGAAAACGCTTGAACCAACTTTGTGCTTCTTTTACTGACACTGCGTTAGGTCCGTAACCTTCACAATTTTTTTTCGAGGCTTGAGTCGCATTTTTCCTTTTTTTGTAATAAAGTTTCAGAATATCGAATTTCTTCCTTAGATTCACTCATTTTGGCGGACAGGAAAACGATTGAAAAATGGCGTCAAAGTATTTGTTAACTTTTTATTTTTCATGTCGTGTCATTTAATTTTAGTCATCCTCAGTTTTGGTAAAGTGTTACTATTCTATATTATGTAGTTGTATATTATGTACTATTATATAGTTGTTATTTTGATAAATTAATCATCAAATAGATTTTAACTAATCCACGTGACGCGTTTTATTAATATAATTTATTTTATTGTGGTTATAACCTATTTTCAAAATATTTTTATTTTGCTAACCTCCATAAATAAAAGTTTTTGATATTTAGAAATTATTATAAAGCGAAAAATGTTTATAGGGCTGTGGATAGTGCAGAAGCAGGCGCAGGAACATTTGATTCTACAGGGGCATTTCACGGCTATAGTAATGACGATAGTAATTTACCTAAGACTCAGGACTCTTCATTTCGTAAGTGTGCAATTAGTTTTTCAATGTAATGCCTTTTTATTCCTATATTTTATCGCAATTAATTTTAATTAGAACTATTGGAAATATTTCTATCGGAAATAATATTATTTTTGAGGCGCAGTAAAATGAAAAAATTAAAGTTTAGGGTTGATAGTTAGATTGATTGCGTGGAATTTCAAGAATTATTGATGTTGCGTTTACAGAAAACATTTTTTTTTAATTTCTTGCGAGAAATACTCCGAATATAGATTATTATCACTTTGATAAAGTTTTGAAACTTAAATTATTATCACTCTGCCATGGCTGGCTATGACGATGCAAAATGGATGTACTAATTATAATCTACTTGTAATATGAAGATAGCAATTAACATTTTTAGAATTTATTGTTATTCTCCCTATTCAATGTACCAAACATTTAAATAATTTTTCTATTATTATTTTTATACAAATGTGTATGATATTATATCCTTTTATTGCAGCTCTAGTGCGTTCTCACACTCATGGAAGTTTCGTGCGTACAAAAACTGTTGAGGAAGGCTCGGAAGAATGGTGGGCTTCAGAGAAAGCTAAAAAATTGTCCCCAAAAAGGTTCGAAACTAGCGATATCAAGTTTAAAAAGGTACATTTTAATGCCATGATTGTATGAATGTAAAATACAACATATGCATATATTATAACATCTTACATATTTCAGTCATCAAATGTTGGAACAAATGAAGCAAATACTAGCACAACAAGCACTCAAAACTCCAAAGTGAATATAGATAAAGATGAGGCATCCCATGAGTCACCAGAGAATTCGGAAAAAACCGCGACTGCTGCTGAACCCTCTGAAAATACGAACACCAGTGATGACAAAAAACTTGCTTTCAAACCGAAATTTTCGGAGAGTAAAACATTTGATTCTCTCATGCGGTCAGAAATTGATATGGAGGAGGTCCGTGATGAGAGAGGAAACTTTCAGTCTGTAATGATCACACCAAATAATAGCCTGCGACAGAAACATCAGAATATTGTTGCTTCAGTCTCTGAAAACACATCAAGGCAGGGCCGCATTCCTGTTTTGCAAATGTTACATACAATGTCACCAAATGATACGTAAGATTATTTTATTGTTCTAATTACTATACACAGGTATATAGCGTTTACATAACTGGGTAGTTGACGCAGTAATGAATTATTTTGATGGCCTCTAGGGTGAAATGCCTCACCATTAACTCAATGCCTTAGCATTATTTCAAAATGGCGTTTGAGGGCTGCGGGTTCGAATCACGAATGGAAAAAGTATTTATATGACTTACAAATAATTGTTCCGGGTCTGGATGTTTGTCCTTGTTCAAATTATGTATGTAAACTACCTTCACAGTGAAAACACTGACTAGTGTATCAAAGTATCCATTACGACCCAAAGATATTTATAAACAAATTAAAAATCTTATAATTTAAGCAGTGGCAGTGTAAGAATATCCACTACCCCATGTTAGTTCGTGGGTGCCGTAGGATAACATGTATACCTCAAACAAGCCAATCTATGGGCGAGGCCTATGTTCAGCAGTACACTTGATTGGCAGTAATGGTTATAAATTTATGTAATGACTCAAAACTGGCTCCGATTTAAAGTTCCATTTGATTTTGTTATTTGAAGTATATAAGTAAGAAGTTTTATAAGATTACGAAAACAAACAATGTCCTCCAGACCGAATTCTGTTCACGGCGGCCAATCTCTACGGAGACTAGCCATCAGCCCAAGACGGCAGCATATGAGAGTGTGCGCAACACAGGTACACTATTCCGCACTAGAATCCGACTCGACCGTAGAGAGATCAGGCGCAGGACCAACAACTTTTACGAGTTTTCTGAGGCACAGGGTTTTTTAACCCTGTGGCTGTCAACTATTTTGACCCCACCCCCGATTTGAAACCAGCCTCAGATCAACAATTGACCAATGAGGCAGTACAAAAATATAACGTCATTTACCTCTAACATAAAATTACTTTTAAAAGTATTTCAATTGACATAGTGTCTTTTACCCATTTGAGTATTGTTTATTTTATTTTTCAGTGATTCCCGACAAACACCTGAAGATAAACTTGTGGAGGATATCTTCGATCTGACCCTAGAAGACACTAAGATATCAACTTCTTGTGCCACATCAATCAACTCAAATAACTCTAGTGCTCAACCAGATCATCGACTGAGTGGTGGCATGCCAATGAGTATTCCCAGTCCCGGCATGCCAAATCACGGCTTGGCAATGAGCTCTGCATCTACAATGTCAACGTCTGTTCTTCAAGGTGGCACATTACCAACATCTGGTATGCAAACAGGGGGCTTGCATGCAAGTGGAATGCAGACAGTTGGATTGCAAACAGGAGTGATACAGACTGGTGTAATGCAATCAAGTGGTATGCAACCAGGTGGAATGCAACAAGGTGGAATGCAACAAGGTGGAATGCAACAAGGTGGAATGCAACAAGGTGGAATGCAACAAGGTGGAATGCAACAAGGTGGAATGCAACAAGGCGGAATGCAACAAGGTGGAATGCAACAAGGCGGAATGCAACAAGGCGGAATGCAGCCAGGCGGACTGCAATCAGGTGGAATGCAACCAAGTGGCATTCAAGGGGGAATACTACAACCAGTTGCAATGCAACCTGGAAGTATCCAAGCTTTGCAAGCAGCAGGCTTACAAACTTCTGGAATGCCGACTCCAGGATTACAGAATGTTGGAATACCAAACTCTGCTCTTAATTCTTCTCTAGGCCTTTCACTTGGTTCTGCAAATAACGGTTTGGTGTTACCAATGCAAGGAGTTCAACCACCTGTTATGCCTAATACACAACTCACAAATCCTGGATTAGGAGCAGCAGGTTTGCAGCCACGCGGGTCTGTGTTACCTGGTTTTCAACCAAGCAGTGGATTGTCTGTGATGACTGGCACTAATGTCGCAAATACATCGCTGTTTCTAGGTCAGAATAACAATCCAGTGAGTATATTTATATAGTTCAGGAAATACAATATTTTAGATAATAATTACTAATATCAGTAAAAAGAAAGAAAGAAAACAACATTAATCAATAATAAATTATGTTCCTTCCTGATGTATATTTTTTAATCAAAGTATGGGTCAGATCCATCAAGCCAGCAGTGAAAATTCAGCAAAACCCGTTAAGATTCACTTGGCAATTTGTAGCTAAATAGTTGCTAAAAACCGAATTTTCAACTCGTACCAGTTCTACAAAAATCAACTTACTGCTATCTTTACATCAAGCTAGCACCAAATTAACGGAATAAATGATCAATGGCGTCTAATAATAATAGCTCAAATTGTATTATCTCTTTCTTTATCTTCCATAAAAAACGTTACCCCACACTATGATTTCTCCTGTATCGTGGAGGCAGTTTACAAACACAAATGGCACAAAGATAAACATCCAGACCCGGAACAATTATGTGTATTTGTTAGATTATTAGGTCTGGTTTGAGTTTCAAAATCCCATGCAAATTTAAAATTTTTATAAAAACTTGTTGTTTTCAGCAGATGCAATCGACCAACGACTTACAGATGCAAGGTCATGGAGCTCAAACAAATTTGTTTCCAATGCATGGATTGCAGCATTCTAGCTCACAGGGAGGGACATTTGGATCAATATATAGCAATATTATACCGCATTCTCCAACTCAACCTGCTCAAAACTCTCAAAATCTTGCTGACCAGTGGTATTATGAAGATCCAAAGGTAAATTTTTTACTGGTGAAGTGGTACAATTTTAAGCTATAAATATAAGTTATAGTTAGTTATATAAGAGTTACTGACTTATCTATCAACGTACAGCCCAAACCGCAAGTCCGCAAGGGGTAGAAATCTGAAATTTGGATTGATTGATTCGTAACTTTCTAAAGGTACTCTATAAGTAAACTAAATATAGTTTACCAGGGGGCTAGTTTATAAGGTGCTGAAATTTCGTGGACATTTTCTTTAAATCTAAATTTACCTGTTTTTGAAACGAGTTGTATATAAAAATAAATAAAATTGAGTGTCTGTTTGTAATGTCAAAATAACACCTTTTTATGAACTATTTTTAAAATTTTTGTCTGTCTGTCTGTTAGTTCCGGCTAATCTCCGAAATGGTTGGACCGATTTTGTGGGGACTTTCACTGGTAGATAGCTGCTGTTATAAGTAGTAACTAAAGCTACTTTTATTTTTTTAAATAGGGTTCTGCCCAAAAGAAAACCCTGAAACCCATTCGTCATAAATTCAATTCAATTAAGTTGGCGGGGAACAGCTACTTATAAATAATATTGGTATGACGCAAAGCTCAAACTGCTGTACGGAGAAGCATGAAATTGTGACAATATATTATACTACAAGAAGGCCTTAACTAAGATAGAATTTAAAAAAATTATACCCTCACAAGGTGAATAAGGTGTGGCGGCGCTGTCGTCGCGCCACAAGCGAATCACATCGAAGCCGAAATAGTGCTAACTAAGTTCCGAAGTTAAAGCATTATATATAGAATAGCAGCGTCGCCACAAAAGTGTTACAGTTTCTGCGACACTTTTTAACAGCCGATTTCATATTTGAATGGTGAAAAATTATGAAATGATTTTTGTTACTTTTATTTGTTAAATTGATACAATTACTTCTCGATTAAAATAATGAAGTACGACGCGGATAACACCGCGGAGCTAAAAGCTAATCCTGGTAGCTAGATTTATTGAAATTATTTTTTCCTAGTTATGGTAACAATATGTGTCTATTACATTATAAGTTTTAAGTCTAGTTAATACGATTTTTGTGTTGTATTGATATTAACAGTTGATAAACGATTAGCGCTAAAATTTTTATACTTTTTTTTTTGGAGTTTTAAAATTTATGCACCAACGTGAACTTTAGTAATAACAGCACGTTACATAACTGTTAGTGAGTAAAAATCACTGATCCCTATATATGGACTGGCTATACACCGTGACATAATGAGGCGATTTGATTTTCGCCATTTTGGCGCTGTCAGCAAAAGTGAACGTCCACGGAACTAATAATAGAGAAGACAGTGTGACAAAATATGTTGATAAAAATTCTATACCCAGGCCTACCTGTAACGTCAATTTATGTTTCATATTAATAAAATACCATACTATAAATAAATGTATCAATATATACCTAGAATACCTAGGGTTAGACGCAAGCTTTATACCTCATATAAAATCACGATTGACGCTGCGTTGGTCTATCTACGTTTTTATTCGTAACTACAGAATGGATTTTGTTCTGGGCCTTGGGTATATTGGTTCATTCACGAGGCTTAAATATTCAATGAGTACTCGAAAATATTCAACTAGAATAAGTAACTATACAATATTGTGATAAATATCACATTATATAAAACGAACAGTACGGCTTTCAAAAAGCCGAAATATAATAACAATAATTCTACCAAAGGACTATTTTTGACCTATCTAAAACATTTGACCTAGTTTCACATGCCCTATTGTTACAGAAGTTAAAATAGATTGGGATTAGAGGACCTACACTTCAGTGGACATCATCATATCTCTATAATAGGCAACAATGTGTCATTGTTACTAAAGCAGATGTAAATTGGTCATATTTGAACAGATTTAACCAATTTGCAACGTCTTGTAAACACAAAGTCATCATCAGGCGACCTTTCTACACTTGCCTATGGCCCCTGAGTTTGAGGGACAATAAGGAGAGAAGAAATAAAAAACATTCGATATAATGATGTAATACTTTATTAGATACTGCTACTGGTACTACCAGAAAATATTGTGGGTATACTGCATTTTTCAAAGTGTTGCATTTCTCATCTATAATATAAAAATGAATCGCTGAATTTGTTGCTAAGCACAAATCTCGAGGGCAGCTGAACCGATCTCGCTAATTCTTTTTTTATAATATTTCTTGAAGTACGAAGATTGTTCTTACGGAGAGAAAAATTTAAAAAATTGCCTCTAAAAGTCTAAAAACAACACTTCTATATTCCCATACAAAAGATTCGTAATAATACTTAAAACTCAATTTGAACTTTAATACCATACCATAAAGTTTAAGTGTTAGTGGAAGGGTTCCGGGAAGGCAAAGCAATTGGAATTGAAACCGGCCGTGCCAATATTTCTCGGGAAAATGTCGCCGAGTACCGGAACAAACTTGTGTCTGAAGTCGAGTCTTTGCTGAACAAAGTCTCGGATTGGGGGCGACTAAATCTAGTCCAGTTTAATTCCTCAGAAGACACAAGTTTGCGCGTTTACCGCTAAAAAGAACCCCTTTGTCGTATCTCCTCAGTTTCAAGGCACTCTCCTTCTTGCCTTAGCCAGTATCGGTATCCTCGGAGTCGACATATCGAGTGACGTGCAGTTTCGTGGTCACTTGGAAGAGAAGGCCAAATTGGCCTCTAAAAAGCTTGGCGTGCTCAGCAGGGCGGGACAGTATTTCATGCCGGCACAGCGCCTGCAACTTTACAGGGCGCAGGTTCGGCCTCACATGGAATACTGTTCCCATCTCTGGGCAGGGGCTCCCCAGTGTCAGCTCCTTCCATTTGACCGCATCCAGCGCAGAGCGGCTCGAATCGTCGACGACCGAGCCCTTTCCGATCGGCTCGATTCATTGGCACTGCGAAGAGATGTTGCATCCCTTTGCATTTTCTTTCGCATCTACCATGGGGAGTGCTCTGAGGAATTGTTCGGATTAATCCCAGCCGCCAAATTTCACGAACGCACATCGCGGCAGAACTCCCGATACCATCCATACCATCTGGATGATTGGCGGTCCACCACTGTGCGATTTAGAAGATGTTTTCTTCCTCGCACGACTTCCTTGTGGAATCGATTACCATCAGCGATTTTTCCGGACCGATACGACTTAGGGACCTTCAAGAAAAGAGCGTACTCCTTTTTAAAAGGCCGGCAACGCATCTGCAATTCCCTCCCTGGTGTTGCAGTTGTTCATGGGCGGCGGTAGTCACTTACCATCAGGTGAGCTGCATGCTCGTTTGCCCCCTCTCATAGAAAAAAAAAACGTTAGTATCGTATAAATATTAATGTCAATATTCGTCAATAGTGTTCTATAATTTTTATTTTTTGACATAATGTAATTGTTGAGTTATCAACTTTCTTTTTTCTTTTTTTTTTGTCTTACTAGCTGACCCGGTGTCCCGAATAATAGAATAAGTATTAAAAAAAAATAAAGAATCGACTGTTAGGCGGTACGAAGTTCGCCGGGTCAGCTAGTTTCTAATAAAACAGTTGTCTGTGAAGTATTTTCAACAAAGATAATCATTTTGTTTCGGACGCACATTCGCGATTTTCTTACTTTTTATCCATAGTTTTAGTTTAAGGTGAGTTGGAAACCTGTTAATAAACATTTGATAATTATCTGTTGTCGGTGACTTTGTTGGCTAAAGCCGCGTCTCCACCAAAGTTTTGTTGTCAACACAACAAAACATGTTTCTATTTTCAGCGGCAACATCAAAGGAATACGCTTGTTGCCGACATTTGTTCCCTCAGTGGAGACGCTTGTTGACAGAAACATTTGTTGGCAAAACGTGTTGGCAAATGTTGTGTTGACAACAAAACTTTGGTGGAGACGCGCCATAACAGATATGGGTAGAAAAGAACATCGATAAGTGTTATAGACAAGAATTCTAATGTTTATCAAAACTCAGTAATATAAAGCCAAATATGTTGGTAATTACGATATTAAGATTACTAACAAATTTTCAAGTACATATATTATCAAATGGTTTTAATTTTTTTCATATTAGCTGTAAAGTCACTTGTGGAATGTTATCCCATTTTCCTTTTGGTAACAAGTTTTACAAATTATTACTAAAAGTAATTCTTATTATATAACTAAAGTTAAACAATGAAACTACACGAAATACTTTCATATTTTCGTTTACAGTTTAAAATACAGAGAAACGATTTAAGCTTAGATTATTGATAGGTCTTCGCGCGCTCTGACTAGATACCGCCGGCGTTCTTGTAAAATGCGGCAACAAATACTACGCCGAAATCGGCGTACCCGAGCCAGTCGCGTTGCAGGCGACATGTGATGTGGATGTACCAAATGTTTTATTATTAAATTTTGATCATAATCCGAAGTAAAATACCAGCTTGCGTAGTGAAACTGTGTAAAAATAATACTACAAGAAATAAGAAAGATACTGGGATCACATACTATCAGTAAGTATCATACAATTTCGAAATTTCAACATAAAATAACACGAGCCATAAATAATTTACAAAATATGTATGACGACATTCAGTGTTGCAGCGTGTACAAAAATAAAGTTCCCCGTGGCTGAGATTTTTATATGTGAATTTATTGTTACTATATTTTATACATAATTCTATATTATTTAATGTTTATTTTTGTAGTATTGCTCAAATGACCTAATATGCATATGTTGTTTTATTAATTGTTATTTTTATTATTAAAACATTATTCCAAAGAGTGTCAACGGAACCTAAGTTTCCACTATCGTTCCGTCTGTCTGTCAGCAGACTGTATTTTATGAACCCTAATATGTAGATACTTGAAATTTTCACAGAATGTGTATTGGCTAATTGTATAGCTGCTATAAAAATATATAATAAAAATAAAATAAAATTGTTAAAGAATCCCTAAATCACGTTTCTTGTATGAGAAGGCCATAGGAGAAACGTGATTTTTTCTGTATTGATATGTGTTTTGTTTACAAACTGTAGCGAAACCTGGATTAACACGCAATAACATGATGCTGTGTGTATGGTGGGATTGAAAACGTATCGTTTATCATGAGCTTTTTCTGCCTGGTAAAACCATCGATTCTGATCTCTACTGCCAACAAATAATGAGACAAAAGCAAAAAATAGAAGAAAAAAAAAACGGCCAGCATTGATCACCAGAAAAGGATTGGTCTTTCATCATGATAACGCCATACCACAAGATTAGTTATCTGTTTGAGACTTTCAATACACACGAACATTCCTAAAAATCCAGTATTTGCTTGAGTACTTAAACTGGTTTAAAACTTTTAATCATTATTTTCTTTTGTTGCTTGTGTTCTTTAAACGAAAGCTTTCTGGAGATTTTACTATTTAAGTTTATAATATATTGTTTCGCATGTTCTAAATAATTAAGAATATTATTTTTATTTCCATTATAAATGCGATGACTAAATCCATGTTGCTTCAAATCTCTGGTATTGTATATATCTAATAACACGCAATAAGGTGATGCAGTGTGTGTGGTGGGATGGGAAGGGCATCGTTTTTATGAGCTTTTACCGCTGGGAAAAACCATCCATTCGGATCTCTACTGCCAACAACTAATAAGTCTCAAGCAAGAAATTAAGAATAAACGGCCGGAATTGATCAACAGAAAAGAAGTGGTCATTTATCATGATAAAGATAAACCGCACACATCTTTGGACACACAAAAATTGAGAGAGCTTGGTTGGGAAGTGTTAATGCATCCACCATATAGTCCTAACCTTGCACTCTCAGATTTTCACCTGTTTCGGTCTCTTCAGAATTCTTTGGGTAGTGTTAGGTTAACATCAAAAGAGGACTGTCAAAACGACTTGACGCGTTTTTTTGATCAAAAATCCCAAGATTTCTACAGCATCGAGATTATGTCACTACCTACAAGATCGCAACAAGTTATCGAATAAAATGGACCCATATATATTATAATTAAATGTAATAAAACTTTAAAACAAAAATTCTTGAATTTGTATATAAAATACGAATCAACTTTTTCCCCGACCTTATATACTAAGTAAAAGTGTAACAAAATAGTACTCAATAACTTAGGGACGGATTCTGCCCGTAAACATGAATTACTTTATTATGGGATCATCTTCGAAATTTTCAATCTATACGTGGTAGAGCCATACTGCAGCTACATTACTGGTATAGTTGTAGCACGAATGGGTCGGCTCGACCGGGAAAGGACCACGCTCTCACAGAATACCAGTGTAAAATAGCTGCTTACCGCTGCTTTGTTTCGTATGGTGAGTGTAGAGAACCGGAGACCCTTTTTACTGGAAACAAGGCATTCCATCTTAGTCCTCAGGGGTTGCAACGCATCTGCATTTTGATTCTTAAACGAAGATAGATGTAGATGTCTATGAGCCACAGCAACCACTTACCATCAGATGGACTGTGTGCTCGTTTGTCACAGAAGTCCGGATTTTTCTTGCGATTTAGAAGATAGATTTATAGTAAAAGTTGCTCATATTGTCTCGTAGAATAGAAATAGAAAGCACTATTTTGGTTACCTCATATAATATATAACTTTTTTTTTAAATAATTTGTGAATATTAGTCAGACATTTAAATATAAAAATTAAACTGATAAAAATGATGTCTTATCATTTATATGACATTTATTCAGAAGAAAAACCTATACATAATATACACAAATATATTGATACATTCGCTATTAATAAATTATTCATTTTTAAATATTTCTGGTCTACATTCATAACTCTGAACTTAACTACTAAGTATGGCTTAAAATAAATTTTCCCGTTAATCGGGTAATAGTTAAGCTGCTGGCATATACAATTTTTCACGCACACTAGCATCCTTGCAATTGTCTTAAACACACTACTATATTGAGATGACGCGTTGACGGAGCTGTCGTTTTCAAGTAGTGCGGTATCTAGTCAGAGCGCGCGATAACCTATTATTAATCTATGGATTTAAGTAAACAACACAACAGACTAGCATATTATGTCAATTTTAGTTTCCGGTAAGAACAATGGTGGCCTTTCAAATCGGCGCAAACATTTTGTAGGGTAGTGTCAGTCCATCGTACTTGTAAATATAGAGGTCAGTGGTAAAAATACTGTTAACAGATAATTGAAATTTATACATAAAATTAAGAAAGAAAAAGATTTTTCTAATTAATTTGTGGCGTCATATATCCAAAAAATAAAAAGGAATAAATTAAAATTCAATAATAAATTTTACACATGTGTACGAACTGTTCTGCTTAATTTAAACTTAATAAAATGATCAGTGAGTTGTTAATAGTTATTTATATGAATATTTACATTAATAAATTAGATCATATTGTTTAATTTATGCCTAACTTATTCTGGATTAAATAACAGATATAAGTGTTGTGTGTATGATCGGCTAGGACACAACTTCTTACGATACTTAGGTAAGCATCCGATATGAGTATATAACAATCGTTTAATTGTTGCAGAAAATCATTCAAGGACCGTTTTCTTCAAAGGAGATGTACAATTGGTACAGGGCAGGCTTCTTTAGTCCAAGTCTAATGGTACGCAGAGCGTGCGATACGCATATGCGCCCACTTGGTTCTTACGGTCCTATGGTACCCTTTGCTCAAATCGTAAGTATATATAAGTACTTTATCGCTGGCTTAAACAAAAACAGTCACATATGTTAAAATTTTGTTATTTACGGCATTTACTTTTTATTTATCCACACATACATATATTTACTCATATAACATAAAATTTCAAAATTGTAATAGATTAAAATAACCATACCGCTGATATAAAACACGCAAGGTGTATGGTTTGAAAATAATATTTTCTACAGGACATGCTATCACCATTCCCGATGTCCAGCGGTTTCGAAACCCGCACTCAGGGGCCGCATGATTTACTAAATCAACAACAAGGACTCGGATTGGATGTAAGTGAGAGACAGATTTATAACATCGTAGGCTGTCTGATAATGATCGAAACAACATTGTATGCCAGAAGATAGGTCATGTTTATTATTTTCATTATTTTGGGTACTGACTAGATTTTTTTCTTTTCAACCATAAAAAGGGCGCGTATACATCCACTCTAGAGCTACTATATTTAAAGTTACGTAAGGTTGGGTTTTTGTATGGAAATAGTACATTCTTTTTACGATTATTGTTTTCATTACCGCATGAATGACAGTTATAGCTATTAGTTTTGGGGAGATTTCCGAAAAAATTAAACTCGTAATTTTTTTAAACAATGTTTCAGAATAAATGAACATTTTTAAACTTAATGTTTTTCAGAAAATAATCCTTGTTTGTTAAGCAAAAGTAGAGCGTTTATTAATAGGCCGATACCGATAACGATACATCGTCACCGGCGTGCTTTGACGACACAAATATTATTTAAAATCTGTTTTAATTCAACAATCGAGTATCAATATTAAATACAGAGCTTTGACTAGATAGCCTTATTGCATTTACTCAGTGTGGCAGAAAATGATTTATTATATGCTTTAACTACAATATAAAAAAAAAAACGTGTTAAACGGTTTAGGTTACATCAAAGTGAAATGCACTGAGCTTATTATATATACACTTTTCGAGAACATAGACATCATCAAATTTTCATAATTAATTTTCGATCTTCACTCATTCATTTATATGATTAGAATACCCCAGTATTAATAAATATAAACAAACACATATTTTTATTAAGTAGCGATTAAATAATATAAACAAACAGGACGCATGTTGTTTGCTTCAATGGAAATGAATGCACGCATGTATATGCACTGTATTGTATTGACGTTATACATTTTTGATTTTATCAGACGATTCGATTCGGTGAGGAGCAGACGTGGTATCGACATATCGCCGGCGATAGACTGTCAGCGACGATATACGGTGATGTTAGTCTATAAAAAAGCATCACGGGTCGCTTCATACATTTCAGTGCCCTGATTCGATATCGGTGAGCTGGTGTCGCTGACGATATATCATTATCGTGTCGGCAAATCAAAAAACGTTCTAAAAGAGATGACACCATCTTTAATAAATACTACGAGTACATAATATAAACACATGATCAGAATCTAGCGATATTTTATATTTCATCAAATATCTAAAAATCTATGAAGAATTTTCTGATATAGTAAATGGAAGAATGATATGTTCTTTTTAAAGTCTTTAATAAAAAATAAAAATAAAACATTTCGTAATTTTTTTGTTTTGTAAATTTTTTTAATAACCGTAGAAAATTAGTATGATAGAAAAAACTTCATTCTTCTTATAAAACTATTAATTTTAATTAAAATTGCAAAAGTTTTAAAATCTAATTATTAATAATCAGTGTTGCCACCTCTTACATTAATTACACATCGACATCGATTGTTCATAATAAAGATTAAATTGTCAATGTCTTGTTGTGGTATGAGGTTTCATGTTCTTTGCAAATGTTCGTAAAGTTGTTGTTCCGTCGTAAAATACCACCCCGTGGTATTTTTGTGCAGTCATGCTGAGGATCCAAACGAGCTGGGTTCGTTCGCCAATACAAATTCCTGCCCACACCATTATCGTCCCGCTTTGGTATGAGTGGACCACCTGAGTATGCCGTAGACGGCTAACTTTCCCTGGAGTTCTCTAGTTAATAATTAATTTACAGTGTCCGCATGTATAAATTAAAAAAGGGGTTGTATTACTCAGTTCGGACTGACTTTCTCTTGCACTATTGCTACACCCACTCATTATTTTTCTGCTACTACATCAACTGTTCACTACTGGACATGAGCTTTTCCAGTTAGGGAGGATTTGCCCCAATTGCTAAGCCTATGGATTGACGAGCACAGTACCAGAAGCTGATTTCCGTCGCTGGTGTGTATATTTTACGTTTGGCGTCTATTGGAAGTCATTAGATTTTTTCTAACACTTCCCATAATTGCCTTTAGCGACACTTACGGGATGAAATTGGTCGGTAAATATTTTTACGGCAAACCTCCTTCGCACGGTTTGGTAACTTATCAGCAGCTGGCGGGGTCCACCTGGAGCCTTTGTTGTGGTTGCATCGCTGTGATATTGGGTTGTCTTCTGGTGACCATTTGGAGAAATCGGTCCTGTCTTTGCGTAGTAACATGATATCTACCCGTGAGCTGTTCAGCCACATCCCCAGTACTGCGATAATGTGACCACAACCTTGATATCACGGTTTGGCTTGTGTGTAGGGCCTCAGCAACGACGCATCATTTTTTACATGCCCACGGCTCGTAACATTTCATCTCGACTCAAGTGACGATGTGACATGACTCTTAAAGCTCGCACGGCACGTTAAATTAAAAAAGAAAACCAATCTAATCCCTCTTTATTAATAAATATCAATTGAACAATTTTAATTTTCTTTGACGTAACGAATTACTAACAATTTTAGTTTTTTCTTTTGTTTTTTATTTATCTCTTTTTGAACTGGCTATAAAAAAATGAGGAACGGGATCTGGTTCTGCAAGCCCTATCCATGAACAACAGCAACACCTTTTAAAAATTAGTCGAGTAAACTCGTTTCTTGATAGTCCCTAAGTCTTATCGATTTAGAAAAAGGTGATTGCTGGTGGTAGCCGATTCTATTAAGGAGTCGTGCAAGGAAGAAAACTCGAAAAGTCGCAAAAAGTCGCACACTGGTGGACCTCGAACCATCTATATGATGTGGACGGTATCGCTAATCGCTGGAATTAATCCGAACAATTAATCTGTGCACTGCCATCTGTTGTGCTCTTTGCAGCGCCATTGAATCGAACTGATCCAAAAGAATTTGGTCGTCGAAGATTACGGTCGTTCTTCACTTGAAGTGAAAAGAGCTGGCTGGGATGCCCGGCCCAGAAATGAGAAGATATCTGAAATTGAGGAGATACGACAAAGGGTTTGTTTTAACCGATAAACGTCCAAACTTGTGTCTTCTGAAAGCTAAACTGGACTAAATTTTAGCTGTCCCAAATCCAAGACTATTTAACAGGACTCTACTTCAGACTCGAGTTTCATCCGGATTAAGACGATATGTTCCAAAGAAATATTGCTACGAGGCCGGTGTATTAAGCGTCACCAGTGCCGGTCTGCATCTGCACAGCAATGAATATTACCGACTTGCAACTTGGTATTGATTTGAAAAAATAACGGAAATGGTACATACAACAACGTAAATAACACGCAGTCTTGTGGAACACCAGCAGTAATAGGCTTGTAGGCGACTTGTGGACGGAGCATGCATCGTCTCTATATGCTTCGATCTGTAAGAAAACTGGTGATTCAATTGCATAATTTTTCGAGAAGCCCATGAACAGCTTCGAAAGGATGAGCATCAATTACTATTACATACACTTCCTTGTCCTTTCAGTAATGAGAGGAGCCTGTGGCCAGATGTGAGACATATACAGGCTGTAACGAAAAATAGTACGAAATAGAAATATTATTAATGTTTCATTATGCTGAATTTCTCCCCATTTTAATTGGAAATGTACAAATGGTATCATTATGCACGCCCACTAATGTAAGCGGAATGACCGCTGCGCAAGCGTAAGCCACGACATCAGCGTCACAAAAATAACTTATTTATTTGCGCAATAGTCTATATCTAGACATATAAATAATTAAAGCCGATTCCGGCTACAACTCGCTGAGAAGTACAATTCAGCAATTTACTGATAGTTATTATTACAGATATTCAATTTAAAATCTTGACCGATATTATTAACTTGTATCACATGGTACAGACTTTCAGCTTCTGCGCAGCGCTTTTGTAACTTAGTTGGTGCAAATGAGACGTGTTGACGCGAAGTCTGAAGCGTCGTTGTTAATGCAATTTTGTATCTCGCATCAAAAAGTAGTAGAGGTTCTACAAGGCTCTACGTGAGGCTTTTGTAGACACAGTTGCCTCCGTCCACTTGCTACGCTTTGGTGACCTCTTCGGGGGAAACCAAGGGTTTTATCTATGCAATACAAGAACAGGTTATCCTAAGGGATGGCACCGTCGACATTTGTTGAGCTTTTCGCCATCCAGGTGAATCACTTGGCATGTCATCTCCAGTTGTTCGTTTTCTAACTCTTAAGTACTTACATAAACACAAACTAGTAGCCAGGATCCTACGCCAGGAGCTCGCCCAGAAATACTAATCTCGTGAATTGAAAACTACCTTACTATACTGCCGCCGAAAGCTGTCCTCAAAAATGACCGCGGTAATCTCTATTGGGACCGGGACAACATCACAGACCGGACTATTCTTGCGAATAAGTCAGATATTGTGCTGATGAAGTGGGCATAGTCAAGGATATTTTTGATCGATATTATCATTCCGTATGACAAGAACCTCGTGAAAGCCGAGACAGATAAGGAAACTAAATATCTCACGAGGTAACCGATATTTGGAGTGGTCTGCCGATCGATATTATTACTGTGGTTGTTTCTACGAACGGGGTAATCCCGGTCAGGCTCTCCGTGACGGACTGCTCCGGGCTCAAATGCAGAAGGCGGTGCTCCTTGACACCGCCCGAATCGTCTGCCAGTTTCTTTCCCTCTCCTCTAACCCTCGGCCGTTTGGTTTTCCCTAGGAAGGGGGGGGGGGGGGCATCTACTTGGGTTTTTATTTATTTATGTATTTAGCTATATTTAATGTATATTTATCGTATTTTATATATTTATGCAGCCCAACCAGATGAGATAATAAATTGATACCCCATATAATATAATATAACGATTTTCATGATTTCTAGTACTCTAACTTCAGTTGGTACAGTAGTATTTTAGTGTTTATGAGAAACTGGCTAAATTCACATAGATTTTTTTGTGTAAATAATTTTCTTCCTTTCTTTAAATTTTTCCCAAGTCTGAGAATGCAGGTCAAAATATCTCCCTAAGTTAGAATAAGAATATTCCTTACTACCCCGTCTTATAGAGTTTATGAGAAACAGGCTAAATTGACAAAAATAAATCACGAAGTCAAATAAAATTATTTCATTATACAGAATGGGCCAATTGGAAGTAGAACTTGTAGAACAGTACCTATTAACTTAAGCTAAAATTATATCTATAGTGAATAAAGTACAAAGAGCATATTTTTATGTCATATCGATAAATCCCTGTTATATTTATTCGAAAGCAAAAATAAATTAATTACAATGTTTTTATCGAAAGAAAAAAATAGGGGGAAAGATGAAAGGGTGGTGGGGTAAGATCGAAGTAGTTTCTAAAATCGTTCAAATTAATGTCAGACGATATTGACGGTCTATAATATCAAAATACCTTCAAATAACACAGATTACACAAATTATTTGTTTTTTATATTTCAATCTTGCCCCGCCGAGGAAAGATTGAACTAGAGGTTCTCAAACTTTTCACTTTACTTGGATAATATTATACAGAAAATGAAAGATATCTATCATATAATTTTTTTTTATTGTTAATGCCAAGATAATTTTAAACACAATTACGTACATGTACCTTTTACCATTTTGGTTAACAAAATATGTAGCACAAAACGTAAAAAATAAAATATTTCAAAATTAAACAGCTAACCAATTAATAAGATCTTAGAAAAATGCCACAACTAAAACATAGAAAAACTTCTAAAAAATATTATCTAAACATTAATAAAAAAATTGTAGTAGATCCACGTCTATAGTTCACTGTAACACATAAATGAGCAGGGTTGACCGGTGTGATACTACCCTCTCACAGAAAATCAACGTGAAGTGTTTAACTTCTTAGTGACTGCCATGTTTCGTCTGGTGAGTGAGAGTTCCGGATGCCCGTTCCTTTTCCCCTTTTCTTAAGGCCACCTGAATGTTGAAGTTTGCTAGATAAACTGATGTGACGTTGCATTGTTCTAGGAGCTGTGATGTTGCATTTACTAACGAGTATCTGGTGGTCTTTCCCCTTTCTTTAAGTTCCTACTCCCAATCCTACGAATCCTGTTCCTATACCTTATGAGAAGGCAACGCACAAGTAACACTCTTGTTGTTTCTTGTGTCTATTGGCAGCGGTGAAATCACTTAGCCATCAGGTGATCCACTTGCTCTTTTTGCCTCTTATAATATACAAAAATTAAAAGAAATACCTTTAGATAATATTAGCTGAAATTGTGCCGCTAACAATTTATATAATGGCTGTAACAAAACAAAACATTTTTTCAGGTACAGTTTGAGAACATGAGACCATTTGTATGACTTTTGAAAACGGGGCAAGATGGAAACTTTTATATGTTTATCTTACCCCGTCAAATATTGGCGGGTAAAGACGGAATGTTACAATAAATCCTAAAATCCAAAAAGTAGCGATATTTAGACATAGCAACATAACTACCAATTAAAAATAATAAGTATGTATACAAATAAAAAAACTCGTACCTACCTCGTAAATCAAGTTACACGACACGGGGTAAGATTAAAATACCCGACTTGCTCGCGTAAAATTCACAGCGTAGATATTCCCTTATAACACACAACCGATCCCTCAAAACGACAAGTGCCGACTTAGGTGTGGTACGTAACAAAATGGCGGTCTTATGATTGTTACCTGCATTGGATAAATTACACAAAATCTGTTTTTACTGATGCCTTTTTGTCTTACCCTGTTTTTTATCTTCCCCCCACTCACCTTAACGAAGTTAGAGCTTACGTGCAACGTAATCCTGGTCTATCAACTCGTAAGCGTTCAGCCGAGCTTGCTGTATCCAGAACAATTTTGCGACGCATTTTAACGAAAGATCTTAAGTTTCACCCATATAAGATTTAATTATTGTAGGATTTGAAGCCAAATGACCTCAATTTACGCCGTTTTGTGAAACAATGTTATAGCGTTTTAGGAGTTTCAACAATAATCTTTTTTCGATAAAGCCATTTTCACTTAAATGGTCACGTAAATAAACAGAATCGTCGTTACTGGGCCGCAGTAAACCCACGTTCCAAATATTAAAAGCCTCTGCACTCGCCAAAAGTTACGGTTTTTGTTATATAGAATTGGGGTGACAAACGAGCACACAGTCCACCTGATGGTAAGTGGTTGCTGGAGCACATAGACATCTACATCTATCTTCGTTTGCGAATTAAAAGCAGATGCGTTTTCAGCCGTGAGGACTAAGTTAGAATGCCTCTTTTCCAGTAAAATAGGTCTTTGGACAGCCATTTACGCACGCGGGATCATAAGTCCGTATTTCTTTGAAAATCAGCTGGGGCAATCTATGACAGTAAATTAGGACTGATACACAGCCATGTTACGAGATTTTTTCTTTCCACAACTGCAAGAATTCGAATGATATAATCGTACGACATGGTTTCAACTATGCATACATCTGATGCCTCGATAGCAGTCTTAAACGAGATGTTTAGAGGAAAACTCATATTGCGCCGAGGTGTCATTGCGGGGCCGACCAGAAGCTCGGATTTGACACCATTAGACCAACCACGATTGCCCAGTTGAAGACCAATATCGAAGAAGAAATGGCGGCTATTCCAAGAGCAATGTGCCAGTGAGTTTTTGGTAATCTAAGTTCCACATTGGAGGAGTGTTTGCAGCGCAATGGTGCACATCTTGAGGATGTCATTTTCAAAATAAATAAAAAACAAAGATTTGTTTGTATAATATTTATCCTTTTTTTTTTTAATGATATTCTCAAATCCACCCAACTTTCTGGCCCACCCGGTATAAGGCCGGGGAAAAAGTTTTTCCGTCTTTTACATACAAATTCAAGACATTTTTAAAAGTTTAATTTTATTTAATTATAATATATATGTGCCATTTTCTTCGATAACTTGTTGCCATATTGTAGGAAGTGACATAACCCCGTTGCTGTAGAAATCTTGGGATATTTGATCAAAAAGAATGCGACAACTTGTTTTGGACAGTCCTCTTTTGATGTTAACCTAACACTACCCAAAGAATTCTGAAGAGACCGAAACAGGTTAAAATCTGAGGGTGCAAGGTTAGGACTATATGGTGGATGTATTAACACTTCCCAACCAAGCTCTCTCAATTTTTGTGTGTCCAAAGATGTGTGCGGTTTATCTTTATCATGATGAAAGACCACTTCTTTTCTGTTGATCAATTCCGGCCGTTTATTCTTAATTTCTTGCTTGAGACTTATTAGTTGTTGGCAGTAGAGATCCGAATGGATGGTTTTCCCAGCGGTAAAAGCTCATAAAAACGATGCCCTTCCCATCCTACCACACACACTGCATCACCTTATTGCGTGTTAATCCTGGTTTCGCTATAGTCTGTGGAGCTTGACTACCCTTTCACCATGATCTTTTTCGCACATCACTGTCGTAGGTGATCCACTTTTCATCACCGGTGATCAATCTTTTCAAAATATTTCATTACGTTTCAATAGTGAATCGCAAGTATACGATTCATTAGGTTTCTTTCAGTGAGTTCTTGTGGTACCCAAAAATCGAGCTTTTTTGTATAGCCAGACTTTTTCAAAAAAAAAAATGAGTCAAAACTGTCTTGTGGTCAATCCTCAATTCCCAGGCTATGTCGTAACTACTAATATGCCGATCTTTCTCTAGTTTTTCAAAAATGGCATCGAATTTATCCGTATGAGGGCGAGCGACCAGAGCGAGCTGCATTTGTGACATCAAAATTTTCGGACTTAATCGCTTGAACCAACTTGTGCTACTCTTACTGACAACACTGCCCTGTCCATAAACGTCATAATTTTTTTCGCGGCCTGTCGCATTTTTCCCTTTTTGTAATAAAACTTCAGAATGTATCTAATTTCTTCCATAGATTCACTCATTTTGGCGGACAGTAAAATGATTGAAAAATGACAGGAAAGTGTTTTTTTTTTTACTTATTTTTTCTCTTAATATCCTATATGTATTGATATTAAAACCAGCCAGATACAAACAGTACAACCAAATAGATTTTTCTTCAATTTTATACAAAAAAAATTTGAAGACATTTTTGCCCAGACGTATTATTACATTATTTTCATACAATTTTTATAAAAATAGTTGCATTTTGTCAGTCTCATAAAAAGAATATTAATTAACATCAGTTCAACTATCTTGTTTAGATTACATATTATACTATTGTAGTTTATTGGGATGTCGACACGCCCTTCATTAGTATTTTGTTATTATCATTTTTTTGTTATAATGCATGTTGACGGTTTCTAAATTTTCACTATTAATTGTATTAAACACTCGGCAGATAACCTACATAATCTATGTATGTGATATAGTGTTATAGTAGTTTTTTTATTATTATTAAGTGTAGAAGCATGTTCTATATCGTTTCACTTGTTTATCGCTTAAAATCCGGTATAATGTTACTACTTAATGCCGTAACTTTTAGAGGTTTGAAGAGTTTAAAACATTTGCAGGATTCCTTATGGAGTCAACCTACTCCATCTCCGGATCTAATGTGGATGCAGCAAGCTATGAACGCGCGGAACGAGTCGCGTGTCAACAATCTCCCTATGTTTTTCTGGGATCCGCAGGTTTGTACATCAACTATTTGATTAAATATAGAGCTCTGCTTATATTACGCAACCGGTGTAAATTTAACAAACATGAATCGTCATTAAGCCATCATCTTTATAATTCGGTCACAATGTCATGAAGTTTTTAAGCAGATCTCTTACACTGAATATGCTATTGAAAGCGTTATGCGGATTTCGTATATGAATATGCATAGATTTTTTTTTACTATATTCACGTTCTACAAACGGTAAAAAGTAAATAGAGGGGGGTTTACATAAGGTAAATAAACTGTAAATGCCTATATGCTTAATTATGTGTATTGTTCTAATGAGCTAATTTTTAACCTACATCGTAATTTCTAATCAAGATCATTACCAAAAACAAAAAACTTACAACATTGTGAAATTTTATACAAACTATATCCGTATAACGTGCTTGCATTTGTCATAAAAGAACTAGATGTTACATAGATATTACAACATAACTTTTAAATTTACTTCAGTTTTTTCGATGTAACATCGAGTTTCAATTAACAGAGAGTGCTTGTCATCCAACAAGGAATCATGAACGACATTTCTTTAAAACAGTTTGTGCCTTATGGTCATTTATAATAATGTAGCGCCATCTAGCAACGGATATTTTGAACATAATATATTCATTTTTCACTTTTAATCGTATATTGAAATTTTAACAGAAAAACTCCATAATGTACTGTTATTAGTTACCTTTAATGGAAGAATAAAGTAGAATATAATTAAGTCATAAATAATTTAATGTTGGCTCGCCATTCTGACGCAGTTCCATCAGAATTTTTACTGTATCTATAAAAATTTCAAAAGTACTTTTGAAAAATCTTCTGCTGCTTATTTTGAAATTTTGACGTATTTAAATGTTGGTGTTAGCACGCCATATAACAATATCATTTCATGTGTTTATTGTGTGAAATTTCAAATTATTGTTCTCTTTTGTACTGACTGCAAAAAAATGCAAACTCATTAAACCTCATTAAAGTTAAAAATCGACATTGACAGTAAGACCACTTTAATAGGTCACATTTGAAATCTATTAGTCTTAGCTTCATAGTGAGGTGGCCTGCTTAAATTATCAATTAAATTAAATGTACCTAACGTAAAAAAATCATGTTTTGTTTAAAAACACTTCTTATTTATGTACTGTAATTTTAATCGAGTCTCTGAATCGGTGCTGTCTTGTTATATTCAATTTTAAGAAAATAAAATAAAACATGTATGTATAATATACCTAGTTGAAAAAAATTAACTTTTTTAAGTTGAACTATCCAAATTATAACTAGATCATCGTCATCACTGCGGTCTGCATTCAGAAATATTAAGAATTTATTTAAAATCTCGCCTTGTTTAAAATAATTCAAGATATTTTTATGTTTTGTCGACAAATTTTCTCCATTCTTTTTAATGACATCTGCACACATAGTTTGTAGCAGTGTGAGCATTTTTCCAGTGCTGTGGGTGGCTCAGTATTGCTACGCGTTGCATGACCTTTTATTTATGCCAAAATAAGCTCTATAGCGTTGTATAGGCAGTGGTGGGGAGGCAATCGAAAAAGGTTCATTAGTTATAGTAAATCGTTAAATTAACTTCTTTTATATTAAAATAAATTTATATTTAGTAACTGAAAAAAGTTGTGCAATTGTACCGTTCTAATTTTGAGAAAATAAAAATATTTTTTTTTGTTGTAATAATTTTAATATTCACTGATAAACAAAGGTAAATATTATTTTTTTTAAACTCCCGTTTTGGGTGGACTTAGGAACATCATAATCTTAAGTATTATTTTAAAAACTTCATTCCTTCCCCTATTTTGCCACCCTTAGTGGTGGGATTTTGCTTCAAATTTGTTCTCTGTGGTATTTCCATATAAATTTGGAGAAATAACTTTATAAATGAAACTATTAATAAAAGTAACTATTTAGACGACGTTGAGATTGTGATGTTCCTTAGACCATCCAAAAGTGTAAAAATATGTTTACTTTTAAATAAAAGTAAAAGGCCATTTGAAAGAACTGAAAAGAATAAAATAATTTAATATTCTGAAAAAGGTTATTAAGCGTCTCCCACACAGAAACGGCTTACGGTGGCAGACACGGTGGCGGTCAGTTGTATTCGCTCGCAATGTAAGAGAGTCCGCAAACTCGTGCGGCCATGGCGCGGACTGCCAGCGGCTGGCCGCGGCCGCATGCTCCGCCCCCTCCGCCACCGCGTGTGTGGTAGCGAGTACGCAGCCTATCGGTGGCCGCAGCGCGGTCAGTTGCAAAGGGGAATGCCCAATTCTGGCCATGAAACGCCCAACAATTTGCATTTGTTAAAAAAATACATCTCTTTTTATGGTAATTAATAGCGGTATTTATGTATCCAAAAAAGATTGCAATATTTTTCCACAAAAAAAAAGTACTGAAAAGATAAAAACGAAATTAGGTAAATTTATCCGCAAGTCACTAGTTTGTGGATAAAATAAAAAGTGTTGTCAATCACAAATCTCGTTAAAAAGGCGATTCTGTTTTTTCAATCGATTTTTTTGTGGCGTCATTATTATAATGGTAATATTATTTTTCGATAAATATTATGATGTTATGATAATTAAACAAGCGAATTGCTAGTTGATTTACCATGAACTCTTTAGAACATAACAAAAATGCTACTGCATAATTTAACTGTTATTTTTATCTGTTCTTAAAAAAAAGAAAACATTTAAAACCAATTTAAAAATAAATTAAACAAAACATATTTTAAAAGGCGTGCAGAACTTAAAGCGAATCAAAGATTATTCTTTTTTATTAAATTATAAATCGATTAAAAAATCACTATCTATTTATCGATTTTCTGTCTGTTAATTGGCACCATCGAATCTGACAGCTAGGCCCATGTCATAATTATCAAAACTAAATAGTCACAAGTCGAATTCCTTTGCATTTGTGTTATTTTGTTTGTTTTCTCGCGGATTTGTTATCTAAGAAACGAATAAGCTTTCTAAATGGACTCCGATAATTCTTCTCACCCTATTGACCACGGCCTTAAAATGGATCCCGCTCCCACTTCTTACCTCTGCACGAACTTGGACTCGATATCCACTGTTAACGATGACCCCAGCTTTCACACCGGCCAGAGTTCTTCCCAGCTCTCAGCAACTTACGTAAATGGACATTTACGCTGTGTCAATATTTAAATGTCACGAAAATACGAAGTCATTTATTGTTAAAAACTGTTCTTGTCAAAATAAAAAATCTTTATATCTTAAAAATCCGGACTTTTTTTTTTACCAATTCCTTAATCATTTCATTATTTTAATTGCATATTATCATTCCCATATACTTTTATATGTGGGCACCCATGGCCGAAGTGTCTATGAACGGTGGGCATTCCCCTTTTTACAACAGGCCGCGTGTACCGCGTGAAAAATGGTGCTACATTCAGAGATTTTAATAGAAACTAGGCGAAATTATCCAGTACTTTATGATAATTTGCATCGTGATCACAAAATCATTAGGATTAAAAACAAAATATATGATAATACTGCTGAAAATAATAAGACTTCGTCACGGTTAACCATGTTTACTGACGTCTGATCGTAGCACAGACACCATAGCAAATGGCGCTTCGGGCCGCCACTCCGGCCGCGGTGATGTGTTGTTGCAGCGGCTGGAGCCGCGGCTCGCGGTTAGCCGCCACCGCAAGCCGCTTGTGTGTGGGAGACGCTTTATGACTTCAGAATGTTAAATTATTTTATTCCTTTTATGTCATTAAAGTGAACTTTTACTTTTTATTGAAAGTCATTTTTTGTAGGAATACCTTGATTTGTTAGTGCTATTTGAAATTACAATACTGTTTTTTTTTTATTATGGCCTACAAAATGTCATTCATACGCTAATAATAATTAAAGTTAAAAAAAATATAATTTTAAATCATGATGTTTTATGGGGTGACACATTTTTGCTGATTCGAGACAAATTTGTGTATAAAAATATGCGTGGAGTCTGAAGTACTAATATCGTTTTTGAATCTGGAGGTCAAAGGGTATAAGGCACAGTGCAAGAAGAGGTCAATCAAATTCACGTCTACCATCGTGCCTTTTTGTTACGTTACGTTATGTTGTTGTTACGTTATGACTTTGCTGAAAGACGTTGAAGGTGTTGATAAAAAAATATTGAATTTTAGATAATTTCAAAGTATTAAAATACGAAGAAAAATCTCTCATTGTACTTGATTGATCTGTTAATAAATCTGGGACTGATGAAGATATTTCTGAAGGAGCATCTTTAATTGAAATTACATTAATTCAGTCAGCCATTCACCGTTTTACCATTGTACTTTGTTTAGTTGTGTAGGTATTACCCCAAAATCCTCAAACGCTGATACCTAACCTAACCTTATCTAACCTATACGAATTAGATAATGAAATTAAATACAGGAAGATAAATAAAAACTAATTTAAACTCATAAAAATCTAAATCAGGTTAGATCTAGTATGGGCGTCAATTTTAAATTTTATTTATACAAAATTGAATTAATAGCTTATTATGTATTTACTAATTCTTTCATTGAAGGTATGAAAGTGTTAAGTACTAATTTATGAGGTACTGCAAATTAGCTAATTCCGAGATCAAGCCGCATTTCTGACTTACAAAAACTAGAATATATGAGTATATTTGTTATGTAATGTTATCTATATATATGTATATAGAATTCAGATCCCGATTAGCATTTTTTTTTGCATTATATTTTTTTTATAAATATCGTTGTTTTGATTCACTTGGAGCTTATAGACATAAAATTGTTGTTTATATTATACTTTACACAAACCTACTCTCTGGACTAGTAGCTTCAATAAATATATTGTCTTTCACACACATTTTTGCTTTATTCTGCTTGTGGTACAAGATTAAAAATAATATATAATTTATTGTCGCATTTAATAAGAATTTGGTTTATGATATTACTGTACCTGTTGTTGTAATTTCCATTTATCGCGTTTCTACTCAGAG